ACACACACACACACACACACACACACACACACACACACAAGTACAAGGTAACAGTTGCGCCCCCCCCCCCCCCCCCCCCCCCCCCCCCCCCCGGCGATCCTGCTCAGAATACACAGCTGGATGGGGGCACGGCTGGAAAACTTATAATTAATTAGTTATTATAATAATGATTAAATTATTAGTGACTGTTGGCTTGTTGACACTTGGTGTCTTGGGTGATCAGATCACAAGTAGACGGCTGAGACCCATCGCCCTTTACACCAGTATCCTTCACGCATCTCCTAGGTGTCCAGCAGACCACTTATGCTCAGATTACGTCACCACCTTTGCCGCTAGAAGGTCAAATAGCCCCACCCACAATTATAGCGACGTCCTTGTCAGGGACGCATCAGGATGCATTAGCGTTTACAGTAGAATAGATGTGTGGTTGGATGCATCGCAGACCACCCAGGCGAGCGGTTTGAGTGAGCGGATCACAATGCGTCCTGGTGGCCATTTACATGTGTATTTAACACTATTCACTTCAGATCTGATCGACCAAGATGCATTTTAAAACCAAGTGTAAACAGGTTCTGAATTACAATCGATATGCCACAGATCTGCATCCCTGCAACAGCCTAGAGGTGAGAGGACAATGTAGCTGCTTAGGGCAAGACCACTGCTCTCCAGAGCTGCTTGTACAAATAAAATAATCCAGGGAGCTACGTCTTTGCTACAAAATTACATTATATAAACTGGGGGTAAATGCACGCTAGACGTGTTTCCAACAACATATCCCAGTACGGTATAACAGCCGAAAGAGACAACTGCTCTCTCTCTGGTTCTGATGTAATTTACTGGGAAACCAAAATGTTCCCAAACTGTCGATTATAACTGACTGTAACCAGCATTAGCCATAAACATCTCACAGCCACAATTAGCATAATGTTTCCCGTGTTGAACATCTACTTGTGAATGTAGGTTCAGTCCATGTTAATAAACGTTACCGAACCAAAAGTGATGTACCCAATGGTACATAACGATAACGTGTACCGTTATAGCCCTAGGCTGCTGATTGGCTCCCTGCTAGCTGCTAGCAGCTGCGGGCGACACGTTATCGACCACTGGACCAGACAGATCACTGCAGGGACGCAAACGGAGACACTGCAGCTGCCGGGAATGTCGGCAGGTTCAGGCTGTGTCCAGTTGCAGAGGGACGGCAGAAAGTCACATTAAGTAAGTCATGTTATCATGAAGACGTGGTCCAGTGGTGGACTCACCCCCAATGAGCATGGTGCAGATGGAGAAGATCTTCTCGGCGTCCGTGTTGGCGCAGACGTTGCCGAAGCCCACGCTGGTGAGGCTGCTGAGGGTGAAGTAGAGCGAGGCGATGTAGGCGCTGCGTAGGGGCGGCCCCCCCAGGCTGCTGTTGGTGTAGGGGGAGTCCAGCCTCTTCCCCAGCTCGTGAAGCCAACCTGGGGGAGGCAGAAGGGTGAGAAACAAAACGACCTTATTCAGGCATCTGCAAACGTGCATTAAAGCGCATCTGATGAAGAGGAGAGAGATACGGCGGTTCTTATTGGGGCCGTGTGGCTTATTGCGTTAGGACACTGTCTGCCATTGGAAGGTCCCCAACTTGCATCAGAGAGTTGGCAGAGTGATGTCATCGTCGGCCCCTAACCCCTCATTTCTCCAAGGCCTGTCTGACCTTGCTGTCAACTGAACACTACTTTGGATGAAAGTACCAGCTAAATAAATTGTAATAAGTTGCCATATAAAGTGGAGAAGAAAAGCAGCAGGGGATGGACATTGTGAAGCAATGCCTGATTTTCTCCTGAATATAATACTTATAAAATAATAAAGTCAGGACATGAATGCAAAGACAACTTTGACATAAGTGTTCCTGTCTATGCCCCACATCTTCCAGCAGGGGTCAGCAGCGATGATCCTGCTGTAATGCATGTTTGTACAAGGTGAGCATTTGCAAAGGAGTTAGATCCCAACAGTGCAGCTAATATTAGCCCCGCCCTCTGGGATGAACAGGTCTCCAGTTCTAGATCATTCCGTGCAATCAACATATCTGGGGGGGGGGGGGGGGGGGGGGGGGGGGGGGGGGGGGGGGGGGGGGGGGGGGGTGACTATGCAGGGTGGCTAACAAGGCCCACTCCCCCGGGGCCTTCACTGCTATTTTTAATTGTGTAGCCGTGACAACGCCACTCACGCCATGACGGTTTGTATCCAGTGGGATGCATGCAAGGTAACAGTCACACCTGGTGACATCGTTGGAGAATGATTTGTTGCCTAAGTTAACACTGTTAATCCAGTAAAATCAAAAACTATGTCATATTATATACTATAAATACCAGACTAACTTGTCTGAAAAGTTTCTGGATTTTATCATCAATTAAACCCATTTTTCTAGGGTTAAAATGATATAATTTTGTTGATATAGAAAAAATAGACACTAAAAACAATGTATGAATTTGACAAAACATTTACAGAGATTATAACCGGGCTGGCATGGTCATGCAGTGTTAGCACTGTCGCCTCACACCTCTGGGACCCGGGTTCGAGTCTCCACCACGGCTCCATGTGTGTGGAGTTTGCATGTTCTCCCCGTGTCATTGCGGGGTTTCCTCTGGGTACTCCGGTTCCACCCATGGTCCAATAACACGTGGAGTTTAACTGGAGTTGCCAGTGTGTGCCCTGTAATGAGTTGGTGCCCCATCCTGGGTAGTTCCCTGCCTTGTGCCCTGTAATGAGTTGGTGCCCCATCCTGGGTTGTTCCCTGCCTTGTGCCTGTAGCCCCCAGACCCCCTGCACCCCTGAATAGGATAAGCAGTTACAGAAAATGTATGGAGACTAGAACCTTAACATTTCAACACTGGTCCACACTGACTTTTGATAATAATAAAGAAGTCAAATATTTCCTGAGATCTACTCCATTGTCTATATCATAATGTCTGAGAATAATTGTACAATTTCCCCCAATTTCCTGGTCCCATGTGAACGTCTTCTGGGAGGTGGAAAGTCATTTAATTTTTCTATTTTTAAATCCATCAGCCTATACATAGATATGTGGACAAACGTCACTCAGTACAGTATAGCGATACGTCTCTCTCCTGGAATACCACGGAGAGACTATTTTTTTCTGCGGAGAGACCATTCTACTTCCATCATCCCACTTCCTACAGTATGTCTACCCGAGACGAGACATTCAGCACCCGGAGATGTCCAGATTAGCCAGCCGGGGCCATGTGGATCAAGGCTGTGACTTTTCCTACAGGGAAAAGGCTGTTCACGGGATTGCAGTTTGCAGGTTTCCAGGGAACTGTCACTCTCTCTCACCCTCACACCTGAGCACAGCTCACAGCAGCAGCTAAGAGGAATGTCGCCGAGCTCACAGATAAGGCGCTAGATCAGACAGCAGCCCGTCTGTTCCGATTTTATTCATTTTCTTCCAGTTTCGTTTGCACTTACTTTAATGCACCTGTCTGCCGACAAAAGAACATTTTGCGCCATCTCTGTGCAGCCCAACGAATCATTTCAAACCAGCTTTATTCTCGATATATTTTTTTCCGTTCACCTTTTCACAGTTTTCTCCCTCCAAAATGAAGGGGACCACATATACAGAGATCCAAAAGAACTCGTCTTCCTCGGCGCCGCAGAGGTGCACACTCACCGATGTCCCAGGCGACGGGGTCGTTGTTCTCCATCTCCTTGCGGCCGATGACGTACCAGATGCAGGCCATCCAGTGGGCGAGCAGGGCAAACATGGACATGAGGAGAGTCAGCACCACGGCGCTGTACTGCGAGTAGCGGTCCAGCTTCTGCAGCAGCCGCAGGAGACGCAGCAGACGCACGGTCTTCAGCAGATGGACCAGAGAGGTCTGGTTTGTGTGACAAAGCGCAGATTAGAAACTTGTCTTCTTGCACTAACCTGAATCTTGGCCTGAATCCGTCCTTTAAGGCTGCGATGCAGATACGCTCAGAATCGGATGCTGCATGACTGCCCGTGCATGCAAGAGTCTTACTCAATCCAATTCAGTTTATTTTTATATAGCGTCTCTCGCAACAGAGTTGCCACAAGGCGCTTTACATGGGTGTGTTGTGATATATAGTCCTGCATCATTTATACAGAGTAATTCTAAAATAGGGAATATGGAAGACAAAGAAAAGAAAAGAAAAGAAAAGAAAAGAAAAGAAAAGAAAAAGCAAGCCAGATGACAACAAAACAGAAAAAAATCTCTGGGGGTCAACGGTCAACTGGCTGGTCAGTCCGCTTGGACATGCTAACATTATCCAAAAATTATATCCCAAATAATCACTACCTCACCTAGGTAAACATGTCCTCTCATCTCTTACTCAAACGTAACAATCCACAACCGGGACAGACCTTGCAATTCAAACTACTCAAAGCAAAGGAACTAAAGCATCAAAGAGTTTAAGTACCAACACAGGGAAAAATAAAAACGATATCCTTGAAAATGACAAAACCCCATAATACACTGAAGGCAAAAGGACACCAAAGGGCTTCCTATTTACTAAAACAAACTAGGGACATTGCATTCCTAGTATTGGATTACTTTGAATGGGAACTACTCCACTCAGAAAACTTAATTATGAAGTAATAGAGGATGGGATTATTGACAAAACGAAGGTTGGAGTGGAAAAAAAATTATGGAAGGCAATACATTTCTGTGGACTTCTTCCTGTTGTCCTGCAGACCAACAGAAGGTCACAGTGTCAAGTTAAAAAAACCTCCAACCTAATAATATATACCATATAGTTCAATCTCTAACTGAAAAGCAAATTTGCAAAAGTCACTCAGTCCATTTTTATCTCGTTTTTGAGATGAGACCACCAGTGACATAAAGTCAGGCTTCCTCATCGTATGTTACCGTACTGGGAACCAAAACTCACCCAGTGCTCATGTAATCCAGCGAAGAACTTTTGTAAAATTTCCCAAAGCTCGTTAAGTCCACAGAAATGGTACTTATGACCTTATCGCGGCCACATATTCCAAGGACTGAATGAGTTTCGGAAATCTGGTCTTCCAATCTGTTCAGTTCTCACCACAGTGATGTTAAAGCCGTAGAGCAGGTCGCCAGCAGGGCGGCGATGAGGTCCACAAAAAACCAGGTGGCAGCATAATGGATGCAGATGGATCGTGGGTCATACACAACCTGGCCAGACTGACTCACGTAGGCGGTACGGAAGTTCAGCACAATATCTGCAACAGATGTCAAACTCTGTCAGAGAAATTACAAATCAGTTATTACTCTTTTCAGGATGAACAGATGCTAAGACGTCACCCACAAACTATTAGTAGCCCGCGAGGAGCTAATCAGAGTTGAGTAATTCAGGTCCAGAGAGTAAAAGTCCAGATCGGGATTTTGCTTCAACCAACCAGTTGAGCATAAACAATTATAGTCACAGAGTATGCAACTGGTTGGTTGAAACGAAATCCTGGTCCAGACTTTTATTCTCTGGACCTGAATTACCTAACTCTGGAGTCGCTCCCTTAGTGTTTTTTTTTTAATTGGATCAAATATGGTAATTTAGTTGTTTACTTAATTTTGCTTACACATGCACATTGGGGATTGAGAAGGACTTTCACCATAATGACGTGCACTGTCCAAAACAGTGAAATCGGATGGCTAATTTAGCATCCATAGAACCATTGGTGTTTACCTTGAGACACAGGCTGAATGTGACATGAGAATGCCCTCCCCCCCCCCACAGCGGATTACACAGTTCAGGTGCCCCTAGGCCAAACTCTCTGTAGACCCCCCCATCTGCCCCCTCTCCTGGAAACCATAAAAAATTGAACTAAACACTATTAGTGACTGTTAAATAATTTCTACAAAGGCAAAGACAATGTAACACAATTCCAAATGAGAACAATCGATATATGAACAACAAATCTGGAGGTTTATGCTTTCAGTCATATGCGGCAACCAGAAAGAGCTCAGAGACAGAGAATGAAGGTATCTCAGTAGGTGTGCCCTTAAAACATTACACTCCGATCCTGCATCCACAATGTGCATTCAAGATGCCATAACGTTTACCATAGAAAACCTGTTTTTACCCCTGGTTGCAACCAACTATACAAAATTATTGGTCAGATTTTGTAATATGGGATGTCTAATATTCATTCTGCTTGTTGCCAAGACAAGAGGTAAAAATACAACAAAAAAGTTAGATGTTATTCTTTGATAGTTTAATAGTTATAATACCTTTGTGATATCAATTGAACCAGCACAAACACAACCGGGTGGAGCGTCTCTCACTCTGCTGAGATAACAACAGGCACTGGGCCCACACGACGGCAGGATGGCGAAGCCCAACACATGATCGGTTGCCTAGGTGACACAGATGCTCGCTCACCCAGGATGAAGAGCATCTCCACGGCGATGTCGCTGACGATGGTGCTGCGAGAGGCGGCGTCGCTGTCGTTGTAGGCGGTGAAGCAGACGTTGTACGGCACGGTGACGGCCACGTAGAAGGTGGCCAGCAGGATCATCCAGTCCCACAGCGCCTTGGAGACGCTGTAGTGCAGCAGGATGAAGCGGGATTTCTGCACTGTGGCCACCTTGTACTCGGGTAGAGAAGGTTTCTCAAACACGCCCTGGAAGAAGGGAAGGCGGACATGGTCTGCATCACACACGCTGACCTTCTCAGAGATACCAAAATGATTCACAGTGCAAAGACAATTTCATTTAGTTTTCTTGAAGTATCTGTGTTGGTTTAAGGGGCTTCATGGGTTAGGAGTTCAGACTTTATTGTATTATTTCAGGTTAGTTTGCTTTCTCACTCTTGCAAAGCAAAAAATCAACTAGGCCTGCCTTTCAAGTCAAATCAAATGAACTTTATTGTCATTACAACCACATACAGGGACGATGTGCCATTGAGTAGCTATCCCCCTGGTACCTTAGTGCAAGACACTTCTTTTGGTCGTTGATTTTGTGGCTGTCATTTGTGTTAATTACCCGTCATTTACTACTGAGTAAGAGACTTTCATATTTTATTCAAGAATGCAATTAATTATTCCCTTGAAATACCACACATGGCATGAAAGGGAACCAGACCTTTTGCAGTGTTGGGAGTAAGGAGGTAACAAAGCATTTAAGATTAATCTCTCATTATCTTTCTGAAGAAACCACTTTAATGGGGCTCCTTTGTTGCAAACCTTGGCTTTGAATTATAACTGGATTTCTGTGATTGGTGATTATGCTGGGAAAGAGGCACACAATGGCCGATCTATCCTTATGTCAGCCAGAGAGGCAAAGGGGAACCCATTTGAAAGATTAATCGCGCCTACAGACGTCAAATGTTGAGGAATTTCGGAGCCGCTGCTTTAAAAATTAAAGCTGTTTGCCTAACACTTCTGAGAGGAGCGACTTAAATGGTTGTCTCTTACGCCTCGTGTTTTTTTTCAGTGGATTTAAAAGCTTGTTCCACTGTGACACCTATGGTCAAGTCCAGCCTTGAATGCCTTTGGGATCTTAGCCATCTTAATTTGCGCCCTTAATTGTGACACAAGGTAGGAGAAAGATCAATTATTACTATGCCAATTACTAAGAAGGATGAGGGATCCAGCTGTCAGCAAGCGACAGAGCCGGCAGTGCAGTCCAAGGGCAGTCACTCTCTATGGGATTTACACACTCGCTCTCTCTCAAGGGCAGTCACTCTCTATGGGATTTACACACTCGCTCTCTCTCAAAGGCAGTCACTCTCTATGGGATTTACACACTCGCTCTCTCTCAAAGGCAGTCACTCTCTATGGGATTTACACACTCGCTCATGATTATTCAATAAATTACATTAGATATTCAACACTTTTTAAATATAAAATAGGCTTTGTGTTAATGATTTTGCCCAACTGTAGGCTAATGTAAGTGTTCTAAGCATGTTGAAGGTAGGCTAGGCTAGGCTATGGTGTTTGCTAGGTTGGGTACCGTATTAAAACGCATTATGATAGGTTGTGCTGTATCAAAACGCATTATGATAGGTTGTGCTGTATCAAAACGCATTTTGATAGGTTCGTCGCCACGTGACTCGACGGAGGCCCCGGATCTCACCCTGTCCAGCTTCACGTCACCTTTTCCCCGCCGAGTGAGGCGGCTGGTCAGGTGGTAGAGTACAGCCCGGCCCTGGTACCGGGCCTCGCTGAGCTTGGACCCGCCGTGCTTCCTGCCAAGCGGCCTGTCACCTGCATGACAAGAGTCCTTTACTTTGCTTCTCTGCCCGGCACGTTATTCTGCCGTCTCTCATGTCTCCAAGTCAGAGTTAGTACAAATAGCTCTGGTCGGCCATTTTCACAGTAACGATACCCTTCAGTTCAGTTCGCTGCATTCTTTGTCCCAAAAGGGCAATTTGTGTGCAGCAGGAATACATCCCATAAAACACGCAACACAGACCACACATGAAAACAACTTCTACCAGAGTAAGAGAATTAAAAAATAAATTATTGCAAAATTTATCAGTAAATAATACATTAGTAAATAGCTCAACAGAGAGGTCACTAAGACAAACAAGGGCTTATCCCCCTGGTTCTCTTAAGTGCATGAATAGATAAAGGGACAAAGGAATGAAGGAAACCATTGTAAGCACCCAGCTTAAATATCAAAGCCCCCGCAATTATCTATTCACCCCAGTTAGCAAAAGGGACGCCCAAGAACTGTGGATGAGTCCCACGCACAGCCAAGACCTGAAATTTGTTTGTAAATTGGTGAGCCCTCCTCACATAGAACCACCTCTCCGCATTTAAAGAGGAGAACAGAGCTGGTTCCACATCCTCACCTTCTTTAGAGGAACCGAGGTGGTTCTTCCCGTGCGTGTCGCTGATGTCCTTAAAGGACAGGAGGAAGAGAACCACCTCACTCTTCTCATTCTTGATCGGAACGATGTCCAACAAGCACCAGAACGGGTTTGCTGGAAAGGGACGAAGGGAAAAACAGAGTGAACCTGATGTCAGACACAAAGGATCATACGCATCCACCAGCCACAAAACACCTATTTAACTTGGAGGCCAGTGTTTCCAAGGCAACAGAAACATGGCTATTCCAATTATCCCTGCCCTATTTTTAATGTAAGCGGCTCATTGAACGCTGTCCGCCGTAGCCAATAAAACCAGAACATGCTGAAATGCCGCAGGAAGACATTCACCACCGAGGGTCATTCTTTTGAAACATTTCAATGAAAATGTCTTTTATCTACAATAAAAAAGACAGGATATTAAACCCTGCAATTCAAGGAGTTAAAATTGTATTTTACCCCTGAAAGGAACGTTACTTAAATTAAATGAAGCACTGAATCATTGATCGCAAGAGCATTGACTTCTCCCTTCTGTAGCAATTGATCAGGAAAATGACCCAAAATCAATCAGGTTGACAGAAGTGTCTATTTTAAGCTAAGAGCATGCAAGAGATAAATGGATGTATTACCATTTGGTTTATAGTCATGCATGATTTTGATTTAGTAGTGTGGATATAATAGCAATTATACTTTGTAGCAGAAATCTAGTAAGTTTTATTGAGAAACTATAAGCTTGAAGCATGCAAAAAAAAATCGGTAATAAAATTGTTTAACTTCTTGCAATGTTTTTGTTAATAGCTGTTCATGTTTCCCCCCCCCAAAAAGAAACATGTGAGGGGGTATTACTGTGAAAAAGAAGTGAGCGAAATCGATTTAGGTGTTAGAAAGTTTTCTCCCGCCGACGGGAAAAGCCTCATTAGCCCGGTAGAAGAGGCATGCCACGGATGTAGCCCCTTCCGGCTCATTAAAGTCTCCCTGGGGCGCACGGCATTCAGGCCCCCACCAGGACTGGCCAGTCGGAAATAGGGAGCGTGGTGGGGGAGCCAGGAAAGCTTTGAGCCAAAGCTCACCTCATCCCAAACTTGGTGACCAAATGAGGAAAACCAGTGACCAACACATAAAATAAACACCACAGGTTTAAATGTGTTGTTTCCATTGAATTCACAAGGTTCCTGGCAGTGATAATGAAATGATTCTGTAGGCATGGAATATTAATACACTTTACGGCACGGCCCTATGGCTCAGCGGGTCTCGAACAGCTCCTGGTGTTCGTGTGGGTGTCCTCCCGCAGTGCACAAAGTGTGCAGTTAGGTGAACTGACATCTCTAAGTAGCCTGTAGTGCATAAGTGTGCCCTGTGTTGGACTGGCACCCTCTCCTGTGCCTTGTGCCCACTGCCCCTTGGGGTAGGCTGACCACAACCCAGTACAAGATAAGTGGTTATGAAAAATGGTTACTTCAGACTGTCAGTTGTGATCTGTGGCACTGAATTGGACCAAAATTAACTCTTCCATCCATCCATCCATCCATCCATCCTCCATACCCGCTTGTCCTATGCAGGGTCATGAGCGTCGGGAGCCTATCCCAGATGCAACAGTATATAACGCTGGGTATAATCCAGGCGCCAACCAATCGCAGTAACCCATTTATCTGGAGGGAAATTTGCTCTCTCCTGGAGTTAAAGCTCTCTGCAGCCTGGAAGGTTTGCTTGGTGCTCCTCACCATTCCTCTTGTAGAGCTGCACCTCGGCCTGGAACTCCTGTCGGCCCTCCAGCGCCTTCTCCATCTGCAGCGCCACGTGCTCGCTGGTCTCCACCCCGTGCAGGAAGCGGCAGCTGCAGTTCTTCTGCATCACCTCCGTGCGCGCGAAGCCCGTGAGCTCGCAGAAGCCGTCCGAGCAGTAGACGATGGGGAAGCCGCGGTGGCCCTGCGCGTTGCCCAGCAGGAAGTTGCTGTCTACGGAGACCCGAGGGGGACGAGAAGGACAGTTTAATTCAGTGAAGGAGAAGCTAATATATTTAATTCATAAACTGTTTTGGACTTTGACCGCATTTTAGGCATCCGAAATTGAATCCAAAGGACAATGCAATGGTGGAACGACGATGACCTTATTGAGAAAGTTGTGTCGAAAATGCTGGTCCAATAGACCTTCTGCTTCCCCGACCAGGGCATTCAGGAAGCCCAGCCCAGCTGCTCTTATGTCTAGTTGACTGCTTGACAACATGTGTGCTTGCATTGTACTATTTGTCTCTCTTGTATGTTGCTTTGGACAAAATCATCTGCTAAATGAGTAAACACTGAACTAAATTTAGGTTTAAATATGGGCAATAATGACGTTAATGTGCCTTAGAATTGATTACCTTGGCAGTGTAAACTGAACCACTCATGGCACTGCTTTAGGCAATAACATTTTTAAGCAAACATGCTCACTGCAGCCATCAAAATACAAAGCTACTGAAAAAAGGCAAGATGCCAACCTACCAACGAAATCTCGCATTCTAGTTACGATTAAGGTACGGAAATGTTCAAAGTGTCCAGTTTTCCTGATGTTCCCAGAACCGACCACTACAACCACCACAACAACTAATATTACTAGTGGGGCCAGAAAATACAGAAAATGGGTCAGGGAGCTTCATTTGGCCATCACTAACCTGCCCGGCACCGGATATACCATGATCACGAAGGTGGCTCACCCAGGGTGAGGCCCAGCCGTTGCACTGGGGCTGTGCTGACCCCTGCGAATTCCCCAAATGTGGGAATATCGACTGCATCATTTCTGGTAGTGGGGGGCCGCGTTCGCGCTCTCCCCTGATTTTCTTTGGGGCAGTGATGGTAGGGTTCGAATCCCCGACCAGCAAGGTACCACTGAGGTACCCTGAGCAAGGTACTGCCCCCCCCAAGCACTGCTCCCCGGGCAACAAAGTGCATATTATCACTACAAGGTCAACTAACTATGGTAGAGCAGCAGGTAACACTGTCACTTTACACCTCAAAGGTCATGGGTTCAAGGCTGGTTGGTGCATTTGCCATATACAGATATAGCGCTTTTATAAAATATATATATATTTTTTCCATAATCCCTCAGGGTCTCGCATTTGCAAATTAACAAAAAAAAATGGAAGCGATTAAACTTGTGAAATCGCTGATCGATACAGTAGTACCCCTCTCCCCCCAGGCCATTTTACTGGTCCGTGTAGTTTTTGTATGACGTAAACCAGTTTGAAGGTGGGGAACCTCAATATTAAATGATTAAATTGAATCAATGGAATGTCAGCAGGATGAATAGCTACAGTCAGTATAACTATAGCTATCGCCGCTTTCGCCACGGCGGCTAAAGCTACTCCTGTCAATCTGTGGTAAGCCACGCCTCCCTATGTAAAGCCCCGCCTCCCTATGTAAAGCCCCGCCTCCCTACGTTAAGCCTGCGCTTCTCAGGTCCCTGCTGCTGGAAAGAAAGGTGCTTTCGGTTGGAAAATAATTGCTGCTTGTGGAGGATCAGCCTGAATTTCAATTGATCATTTAATATAAATCCTACACAAAAGCTTTCTAAACTGACCTCTGCTTTAAAGGCAGGCCACAGTAAAACCCAAGACAGATTATGGTTAGAGGTTTTGATAAGATGCTACGGACTAAGGAATGGGCATTACCCTACAGAGTTTTATGCTATACATCAATTAAAACGCCGCAGAGTGACAGCCTGCATTTAATATGTGAGATTCTGCTGTGTGTTGGGTTTTGATTCCTTATTGTCATGCAAACCATTTTTACTTCCGAAATGTGACCGGCAAAACAGTATTATGCTAATATTTAATGATTGGCAAGGAATACAATAATGTAAATTTAATGCGATCTAATGTGATCAGTTGTTACAAATTAATGGGGTCTTAGGCAATTAGGTGTTAATCCATCCAGGTTTGTAAATGTAGGTTTGATCGATTTAATTATAATCAAGTGAATGCAACGGGGAGGGAATAGATGGTGGAAAATGCCCTTTGAGGCCTTGAGTACACTCTGAGAAAACTGAAAGTAAACAAGGCAAGAAATCCAGTAATAATGATCCTTTATGGGCTGGTTTTCACTGTTCCCAATGCTGGATTATATACAAAGGAATTCATTTATTGTGAACTGTCACATGCGCAAAATACAGAATGTTTTCTTGGTTGTCATAGAGACAGAAGGGACCAGATAAAGACAGCTAGGCGAAGTTTAAAAGACACTGGACCTTGGTAGTACTGTGGAAGATGCAGTGGTTCTGGGGGAAAAACTCCCATAGATCCATGATTTCTAAGTTATTTGTACCTTATTTCCCCCTAATTCTGGTTTCTATAAAATCCCAGAAGCAATGTTGTATGCTGTATATGCAAATTGTATATATGCATCAGAAATAACATACATGTTAATATTAAAAAAGGATTTTAATATTAATACCTTTGATTGTAAAAATTCTAAATGGCTAAAATGAAAAATCTTAACATTTTTTAACTGTGGAATATTAATAAACTCCACACCCAATGCAGTAGCTCCAGGGATATTATTTATTTTTTTAGTTTTAGTACCAGATTTAATTCACGATCAGATTTATTGTTTAATGTAAGAACTTCAAGACCTGCTGAGAAATCTAATGTATGCAGTGAGGTACAGCAATTCTTCGGTTTGAATTTATAAATCTCGGACAAAGCTTGATCAGGAAGCAGAACAGCTGTATGCCGTGCGTTTATGTGCCAGTTGGCTCAAAGATATTAGAATGCCAATTGTTGCAGGCAGTTGTGTATCTGAATGTATCTGAATGAGAAAGAATTGCCAGATACCAGATTCCACTCCAGTTTTGACCTACAGCGTCTGACACTACAGGGCTGACATCCTGACATCAAACTTCTGTCATCTTCAGGTCTTCAGGGCTCATTCTGACCACCTACTGAGCTAATGGGACCCATTAGCTGATTGTGACCTGGAGCTCCATGCAGAGGGGAAAATTAGGATCATTCGCCTGGGGGAGGAACTAATCGGTTAGGGCGTCATGGCTGGCTGCTAAAATGGATTCATTATCTGGCGAATTTCGGATCGCTGACAGTTCGACTTGCCGCCCCCCCCCCCGGTGCCAGGGCAGCAGAGCAAGCAAGGACATAAATTGGATTGTTTCATTTCATTGACATCTTGCAAAGGCCATAGGGTCAGTTAGAACTTGTATACTGACAATGCTTCAACACTGAACTTGGTGAAAAAAATGTATCACTGCATAATAATATTGAAACTCACATTCATTGGTTACTGGGGACCTGGAGGTCATGGTCCTTGTGGTTATGATGGGACGAGCATCCAAATATAACTGACTGAATACCAGTAAATTAAAAGGGCAGATATTAACTGTGCTGCTATTCATGCTCGTTGAGAATTGCCTCAGACACGTTTCTTCAGACTCGACCTGCTACTCACCACGGAGCACCGACGCCTTTGCACGTGCGGTTCCTCCGTCACACGGGTTTTCCGGACCGTGAGCCTCTAATAGAATTAATGGCATCCACGTGGCTCATTGTGGGGGACAATTTCGAAACACGTTTCATCTACAGAGGGCTGAATAGATTCAAAGCACTTTTGACAGCTGCGTTTGAAATGGGAAACAGTCATTGCAGCGCACCCCAATGCCTTTTCAATCACCCACAAACGAATGACAGGTATTACTTCAAGGATGCTTGGGAAAATAGATGTCTAACAGGTTTGTCTGGTACAGAGTGGTCTTCCTTTATTTAGCCGGGCCAATTTTAATCAGAACATGGACGCATTTTGTAATGAAGCCAGCACTCTGGCCGACCCACAATGTGGATCCCACCTTCGTCTGGGAATCTCTGAGCATCTCCTTTTCTCCAGAAACAGCAGAGTGTCCTTTGAAGGGCTGGGGGGGGGGGGGGAACATATTGCTCCACAAAGGCAGCAAACAGGCATGATAGTGCTCCATGTTTTTCCCCCCTAGTCTGTTTCAGTTACTCGTGTTAGTTTGCA